ATATGGTCGATCGTTGTGTAGCAAGAAAACTAGCATCCGAAGAAGTAAAGAGCTGGACTGGCCCGGTGTTCTATATCTCCCATTTAGCAGTTGTAAACCCGCATTCCAATTCTACGCCCGTGAGAATTGTGTTCAACTCCAGCCAAATGCACAAAGGTGTTTCATTAAATGCTTGTCTCGCAAAAGGTCCAGACAGCTACATGAACAACTTGGTTGGTATTCTTCTACGTTGGAGAGAAGAAAGAGTAGCGCTAATCGGAGATATTCGAAAGATGTTCAACTCAGTTTATTTGAAGGCCTTGGAACAGCATTGCCACCGTTTCCTATGGCGAGATTTACAGCAGCATCGCCCACCGGACATTTACGTTATACAACGAGTCAATATGGGCGATACACCAGCCCCCGCCATCAGCACAGAAGCTGTCTACAAGACCGCGGAGTTGTATCGAGAGGTTAGTCCACAAGCCGCAAATCTCCTAAAACATTCCAGTTACGTGGATGATTTGATTGACTCACGTCCAAGTAAACCCGACGCGTTAAAGATTGCCAAGGAAGCCGAGGATATCCTTGCCAAAGGAGGATTTGCTGTAAAGTGCTGGCAATTTAGTGGCGAAACACAACCTCGCGTGAAAGAAGAGTTGTTAAAATTGGACCTGCCAGAAAAGAGTGTTGAAAACTCAGACCAAGGACTAATAATGTTAAAAGGAACTGACGAAAACTTACGAGTGCTCGGTCTGGGATGGAATCCGAAGCAAGACACCATCACCTATGAAGTAACTTTGAATTTCAGTAGCAAGAGACGCGGAGTTCGAACCGGTCCAAACCTCCTAGAAAGCGACCTACCAAGTGCATTACCGAATGTGTTAACCAGACGAATCGTTCTTGAGCAAGTAATGAAGATTTATGACCCACTCGGACTAATTTCTCCATTTACATTGATGGCCAAGATATACTTACGCGAAACCTGGTCCCGCAAGCTCGGATGGGATGACCCACTTCCAGCAGAACTTTGCAAGCTACGAGAAGCAAAGTTCCTCGAGCAGCAAATGGGACAATTACCGGAAGCAAGATTGAAACCATCTCCAGCTTTCAACCACGTTATGATAGACCCTTTCGGACCCTACTCGGTTCGTGGAGAAGTACAGAAAAGAACAAGTGGTAAAGCGTACGGAGTAATCTTCACAGATCTAGTTATGAGAGCAGTCCACATTGAAGCTGTGTTCGGGTACGATACCGAATCATTCCTAATGGCCCTCAGCAGATTCGTCAGTGTTCGTGGTTGGCCCGAAATCATATATAGTGATCCCGGATCACAACTAATTGGTGCGGAAAGAGAACTCACGGAAACCTGGAAGAGCATTGACCGACAATCCCTACATAAAAGTGGCACAGAGAATGGATTGACCTGGATCTTCGGCCCCGCTGATAGTCCTTGGTACCAAGGAGCTGTAGAATCCCTGGTGAAGAGTGCCAAGAGAGCTATTCATTTCGCAATCAATAACCAACGTCTTTCAGTCCAAGAGTTCATGACGGTGTGTAGCGAAGCCACGAACCTCCTCAATGAAAGACCTATCGGAACCCTCCCGGGCGCTGATTCCGAATTAAACATCCTTACTCCCAACAGTTTGTTACTGGGCAGAGCAACCGCGAAGAATCCTGGTGGATGGCAGCCTAACGGTAATAATCCAGGAAAGCGTTATCATGTTGTCCAGATCGTGACAGACGAGTTCTGGAAGAAATGGACGGAGTTATACGCCCCAACCTTGGTTATTCGTCGCAAGTGGAATACAGCCAACCGTAACCTGCGCCCAAGAGATGTTGTAATAATCGCCGACCGTAATACCTTGCGAGGAGATTACCGTTTAGGTATAGTACAAGAAGTGTTTCCCAGTCAAGACGGAAAAGTTCGTCGAGTAAATGTGATGTACAAGAATTTTCAAATTGGAGAAAAGGTACAAAAATACAAAGGACATAACGAGGCTGTCATTGTGTCACGAAGTGCTCAGCGATTATCGTTATTAGTACCAGTGGATATGGATCAAGACCAGGAAACCAAGTCGGAAGCAAAAGACAGTGTATGAACGGACAGTGACATTATATAGTATTGAGTGAACAATGCATTAGAGAAATTTACATTCAGATTTTAAGACGCGATCGCATCGACCCCAGTCCTTCCGGTGTATTGGGTTGTAGTAAAGTTGTAGACAATAATCTCTGCGATCGCCTTTTGAACGATGTTTTTTACGTTTTGTTAGAGCATGCGCATGAGAGCTAATATGGCGTGCGAAGGAAAACAGTGTTTTACCACTAATTACTATTTTGTAATTTTCCGTATATTTTATAATTAAAGTGAGTTGAAACCTGTTTTTCGCCTCATTTACTGGCAATCCCAGTACATTAATATCTAGCGGCACCTCGACACACCAGATAGCTAATCTTCCACCTGGTTTCAGACAATCGTACGCTTTCTGGATGTAAATTGGTTTTTCTTCGTTAGACAACCAGTGAAATGCTGATGTGCTAAGGTGTACGTCGTAATACAGCTCATTATCGTGTGGAAATGCAGTGACACTGGAACCAACATGGAACTGAAGGTGACTCGCTTCTTTATATTTTTCTTCAGCAATTTTGATTCTCGCAGTATCGGGATCGATTCCGACCGCCTGACCATCAGGGCCAACGATATCAGCGATATATTTAGTGATTTGGCCTGTACCACAACCCATGTCTAGCACTTTATCTCCTGGGCAGAGGTTTATAAATTCACTGATGAATTTACATCCAGATTCGTATTGTGTCTTACTTAATAGTTGATCATACGCCTTAGCATTGTCCTCCATCTTGACTAAATTGCGCAATACTTTCAATTACCGTCGATTGCATCTACTGATGAACAGGCGCAGATAATTCATTCAATACTGTAAATGAATATGATGTAATAATCTTTATAATGTAATATCCCTTTATATCAGACTGAGTAATGAACTTGTCAAAAAGCATGTTTAACTGCGCTAAACATCCAAAAGATAATATCTACATTAGGCATAAAAAACAAACATAAAAGTCACATAAAACGAAGCATCTGTTGACTGAGCGAAGCACCCCAGCACAGCTATTAAAATATCATACAATATCAAACAGTCTTTGAAAAATTCATTATTTAATTAATATTTTTTTTTAATAGTTTACTATCATTACTCCCCAAATGATTTGCTACTTTTGGTGTCAATCTGTAATTTGTACCATCAAAATAAATGTACTAAACAGCCCCAATCAATTTTTACTTGCTGTGATAGCAACACGCGGCATTTTCCAAGTAACGCCACCATCGTCTTCGTGGATAACATATTTACTTGCTAATGTTGGATCTAAGTCTTCAAAATCCTGATGGCTTGTAGCTTTGTACCATTGCTTAAATTCTTCAAGTGTTTCAAACCGAAAGGGATATAATACTCTGTTTATCACAACATTCCTGAATAAGCCCAGATCTTGAAAAACCTTATAGTAGCCATCTTGAGTCAAGGGGTAAAAGCTTGCAGGGAGTTGGGTTTTAGGCTTTATATCTAGCTGCACACCGGCGCACCAGATAGCTAATCTTCCCCCTGGTTTTAGACAATCGTACGCTTTCTGGATGTAAATTGATTTTTCTTCGTTAGGCAACCAGTGAAATGCTAATGTGCTAAGGTGTACGTCATAATACGGCTCATTGTCGTGTGGAAATGCAGTGACACTGGAACCAACATGGAACTGAAGGTGACTCACTTCTTTATACTTTTCTTCAGCAATTTTGATTCTTGCAGCATCGGGATCGACTCCGACCGCCTGACCATCAGGGCCAACGATATCAGCGACATATTTAGTGACTTGGCCTGTACCGCAACCCATGTCTAGCACTTTATCTCCTGGGGAGAGGTTTATAAATTCACTGATGAATTTACATCCAGATTCATATTGTGGCTTACTTAGTTGATCATATGCCTTAGCATTGTCCTCCATCTTGACTAAATTGCGCAATACTTTCAATTACCGTCGATTGCATCTACTGACGAACAGTCGCAGATAAATCATTCAATGCTACTTTGCTGTAATGTTTGACAGCAGGTAGTCTGATTGGTCTATCATGCATTGATCTATCCTCGCAATGATTAAAACCACTGATGTGAAACGTCACAAGAGCAGTTGTATGCAAATATAGTTACAGGTGACACAAATCAACTTAAACTTTTCAAAATGGACGCGGATGCCGAAGCGTACGATGAAATAAGTAAGCCACAAATAAAGTCTGGATGTGAATTTGTCAGTAGTGAATTAAACCTCTCCCCAGGAGATAAAGTGCTAGACATGGGTTGCGGTACAGGTCAAGTCACTAAATATGTCGCTGATATCGTTGGCTCTGATGGTGAGGTGGTGGGAATCGATCCCGATGCTGCGAGAATCAAAATTGCTGACGATAAATATAAAGAAGTGAGTCACCTTCAGTTCCATGTTGGTTCCAGTGTCATTGGATTTCCACACGATAATGAGCCGTATTACGACGCACACCTTAGCACAACAGCATTCCACTGGTTTCCACACGACCAGAAAAAGCTGTACATACAAAAAGCATATCAATCCATGAAACCTGGAGGAAAATTGGCCATTATGTGTTCGGATAAAGTCGGCCCCGACAGATCTGACCAGCATGAGATTGTGGACTTGCATCCTTTATCTCGAGATGAGATGCGACAGCTGTTTGAAGAAGTAGGTTTATTCGCTAATGTTGTGGTCAAGCAAGTCGTTTACTCGGCTCATTTTGAGACGAATGAAAAATTTAAGCGTTGGGTTAAAGCTTCGTCACATCACGACCTGGACGAATTAGATCCAGCCTTTGTGAAAGCGGTCATGGCTGATTTAGTTACTTTTCACGACGACGGGAGCGTTACATCCAAAACACCGTATATATCTATCACAGCAAGTAAAGAATGAAAATGAACGACGATTAGTGAGCCATTCGTGGTTTACTACATCATTCAATGACACATCAATAAATAAAGTTTTTGATTGACAGACTTATTGCACGAGAGATATATGTAGAAATAGTGTAGTGAAGGTGAAATATAGCAGAGAATTTGTGTGAAGTTCACTAGCTTATCAGTTTTTATAGTTACATGTCAGCGAAGTATTAAATTGCATGGGTGATTAGGTATCACCATCCGATCAATCCTTCATCTTGCCTGCGGCACAAAACTTCAAATTTGCATTTTGCACTCCGCAGATACAGTCATCGTCTACGTATTCTTTGACAGGCCAGTCATATTTATGTATGGTCGCAATGATTGGCTGTCAATAGCTTACAAATGCTGAAGTTTCACATGGTAACAAGAATTCTAATTGGCCGAAGGTTTCATTATCTCACTAATTGTTTTGGGTCAATAAATGCAATAGGTGTTAGCAGCAGGGGGTGGAGGGGGAAATTCGCGCAAAGGGAAACAAAAGGGAACAAATTAGTGCAGAAGGAAAAATACCTTTAAAATTCCACCAAAAAATTGCAACGGATAGGTGAAGACGGCCCTTCCCGCCTTCACCTAGCTCGCGGCGGGCAGACCGGATGCATGTCACTAGAGCAGTTGTATGCAAATCGGTTGTGCATTGTGCTATACAGATCAAATTAACATCCCATTCTTCAAGAGTCAAGATGGACGCGGATGCCGAAGACTACGATGAACTAAGTAAGCCACAATATGAATCTGGATGTAAATTCATCAGCGAATTAAACCTCTCCCCGGGAGAAAAAGTACTAGACATGGGTTGTGGTACAGGTCAAATCACTAAATATATCGCTGATATCGTTGGCCCTGATGGTCAGGCGGTCGGAATCGATCCCGATACTGCGAGAATCAAAATTGCTGAAGAAAAATATAAAGAAGCGAGTCACCTTCAGTTCCATGTTGGTTCCAGTGTCACTAGATTTCCACACAATAATGAGCCGTATTATGACGTCCATGTCACCACAAATGCATTCCACTGGTTTCCACACGACCAGAAAAAGTTATACATACAAAAAACATATCAATCCTTAAAACCTGGAGGAAAATTGGCTATTATGTGTTCGGATAAAGTCGGCCAGGACAGAGATGATAAGCATGATATTATTGACATGCATCCTTTGTCTGAAGACGAATTGCGAAAGCTTTTTCAAGAAGTAGGTTTATTCCCTAATGTTGTGGTCAAGCAATTCAATTATTTAGCTCATTTTGAGACGGTAGAAATATACAAGCGTTGGATAAAAGCATCGTCACATCAGAACCTCGACGACTGGGATCCAGCCTTTGTAAAATCAATTATGGCTGAATTCGTTACATTTCATGACGATGGAAGTGTTGCTTCCAAAATACCGTCTATTTGCATTACAGCAAGTAAAGAGTGAACGGACTTGTAATAAGGAACTTATTGGACAATAGTTTTGAAAAATATTGTAGTGAAGGTGAAAAAAATATTGTGTGAAATATAGCAGGGAATTTGTGTGAAGTTTACCAGCTTATAAGTTTTAATTACACGTCAGCAAAATATTACGTGAATTAACATAAATTGCATGGGTCGTTAGGCACAATCTTCAAATTTGCATTTTGTACTCCGCAATCCGCATACAACACGCTGTAACGGCAGCTGATTGTAGAAAACACCAAACCCCACATTGAAATATTTTATTGATCTAATAATTAGTCACTGCCAAGGGTGCCTATCTAATAATACATTAATAGTTTACATGTAACACTGTATAACACAACTTGACCGACACGACTTCACATAGTTTCTCGTGCTACAGAAATTCAACCTTTGTACAGATCGTTGCACAGTCCGCTATTCACAAATGATCGTTGAAGCAGAAACGCCTATACTTCCACAAGCTAGAATTGAATATTCCTACTTCATTTTTAGTCCGCTGTTACTTCTTTCGTTTAAATAGACTTCGTTTTTTCTCTTTCTTTGGTAATTCTTGACCTTCACTGTTCGAGGTCTCTCGCAGATGTTGAATCCATTGTGCCATATCGTTCTACATAACACAAAATGAATGAAATGGAGATTACAAGTTAAAGGGTTTTTGTCCGTTCAAGCGAGTTTTCTCAACTCTCATTCCCCTGTCAAACGAGAACAAGAGTTACATGAGAGTTGAGTCTGTTGACTGGATATTACCAGTCAAAAGAACAAAAACTCTCATCCAAATTTGAACGAGCCTCAACAAGCAAAACAATTACTATGAAACATCAAAGAAAACAACACAACACTTACAGCGTCTTTAGCTTGGAATAAATATTCGTGCCCGTTTTCCATTCTAAATAAAGTAGTTGATGTTTTGTCAAAATAAAATCAAACCACATTTTTTACCAATAATTTTGTGGAACATAAAAATTCTTACTTTAATCTGAAAACATTTTTTCGTTTACTGTAGTCGTCAGCGACCTCTGTTTTCGATCCTTTTGAGGATAAGACATTTAGGGCTTCGTTAATCCGCCCAGCATCTTTTTGATCATCGAAGAAATGAAGCGAGCCATCTCTTAGAACAACATAAAACTGTTTCCAGCGTCTAAAACACAAGTCACACACTCGTAAACATTGTTTTCGGCTTATTTGCATGCGAAGTTTCTATTAAGACTGGTTTGACAATAGGAATTTTGCATAAGTAATTTCTACGTTTTGAAGGATTTGTAAGAAATGTTTGATGGAACTGCTAAGAACAACACACAACACTATCAGCCAACAGAATAACCTTCTCCAAACAGAAATTGTATAAAATCTAACCTGTTTGAAGCTTTCTTGTGCGGGCCATCCATGGTGTGTTTCCTGATTAAATATCCTTCATTCCTACTGTCGGTGTGGACATTTCCTTCCGCCATTTTGAATTCTTCCTGTTTTTCTTCATCGTGTTCGCCATTTTCTATCGCAGACGCTCGCTTTCTTGCTTCCTCTTCCGCTTGTTCTTTCTTCTTTCGAGCTTCTTCTGATGAGAATAATCATTAATATTATTTATTTATTTAATATCGTATTAATGAGCGTCTGGATGACATGGAGATCAGTGCAATTTTCAAAACATTAACAAGACATTGGAAACTTCCGGAAATGAAACGACATTCGCCCGAGGCTCATGATACATATTTCTATGGATACATGTAATTGACAGCTAAGGTTTAGGGAGGAAGACCGGGAGAAAAATCCTCCAAGTATGCGAGAGAACCAACACAAAACTTTACTTGGATGAGTTTTCAAGCACAGAAAAGTTACCCAAACTAAGTAGACCCTCTGTCCTCGACCTGCAGTAGCTGGCTTAACTCATAACGCGGTAACGGTCTTTCACCGGTGTGCTCCAAGGATAAATATCATTAAAGCAGTTTAAGTACCTTCTTCTTGTCGTTTCCTCTCGGCCTCTGCTTCCTGTTCTTTCTTTTTCTGTTCCTCCACTTCACGCTGTCGTTTCTCCTCTTCTTCTTTCTTCGCGAGTTCCTCTTTTTCCCTTTCCTGTTCCTCTTGTTGACGTCGTCGCGCTTCGCGGAGCTCAAACTATATTATACAACAACAACGACCTTTATTTGTACCTTTTCACAAATTTTACATTTTTCTATTAAGAATTTATAATAATTTAAGGTACAAGCTCCCTACAATAACCAAAAGTTTAAACAAGTTCAAACACACTTAACTAAACTAACTTTATTTACATTCGTACAGCCACAACGACAACAATTGCAGCATAAAGCCTGTTTTCCACTTTTCTTTGATGTCAAAATCATCCCCCCTCCTCCTCCTGCCCCAAAGTGTTCATGAAACGTGATAGGTTTCGGTACGATATCGTTGTAATGAAAAACAGCCCTAAGTATGTGTTAGGCATTAGCCATGACAATTTCACAAAGGCCTAACTACAACGTTCTGTACATTATTATTAGAAAGGAACCTACCGCAGTTAAACGTTCCAAAGCTTTGAAACGTTCTTCGTGACTGTTTACGAGTTTCTCGAAATTCTGATGTTTTTCAATCAATCTGTCAACTTCTGATTCGTTTTCCTAGAAAAAACGGAGCCTTTAATTTAAACTTTACAAAATTAGACCTAGTTACCCATTGCTTGCACAAAATGAATGCTTTTGTTCTTCATCTAGACACCCAAAGTTACTTATTCATTCTGCTGAAGAGAACATGCAATACATACGGCATTTTTTTCCTCGTCTTTCTTCAAGTAAGGTTCCTGTGTCAGTAACCATCCCTCAGCTTGGTGAGCGTCGCGAGCAAACTGCATGACTTCCAGAACTAGAAGGAATTAAAAGTGGTAACACTGGATCAATAAGAGATGATCCTTACTGGACCTCTAGGGAGAACTGATAGAGCTATCTAGTATAAATAAAGTTAGTTTAGTTTAGGTTTCCTCCTGTAGTATCACAGGATCAATACGAGATGATCCTTACTGGACCTCTAGGAAGAACAGTATAGAACTGAAGAATTGAAGTTAGTTTAGTTTTCTTACTCAGCTGTAGATGTTCCGAACGTCTTTCCCACTCCAGTGTCAACTTCTTTCTTACTTTGTCAAGGTTATCCAATTTCGCTTGAATCTAAACACATTGTACAGAATTAGTCATATTTACACCAGACACGGGAAATTTGTGAGGAAAAAATGTTTGAAACGATTGTGCAAATGCAGAATACAGGCAGATCATCTATCTGCACAGTTCGTCCTCGCGGACGACCAATACACAGAAGAAATTACTAATACATTTCATCTCAAAACTCACATCTTCAGAAGCATAGTGTTCCCGAGCAAGTAACGTTTTCCCCATGAGAACAACGGATGAAAAGCCTTCTTCTCTCGCGTCAATTTCACTTTTTCTTTGTTGATGTAATTCCATTAATGATGCCGTTTCAGGTACATCTCTGGGAAAGAAATGGCAGAGAATTTTACTACACTGTATGCCAGGAATACTACATCAAAGCATTATTTTACCATATCATACCTTAAAATACTCATTAATAATTCATGAAGAAAATTCAAATGAAATAAATGTTTAATCAATGTTTGTAAATCGGATAAAGATTTGTCCTGATTAACATACACTTCAGCATTGATTTTCTCGGCTTAGATAATATTTATTTTTAAAATTACTTCGCCAATGAACTCATAAGATGGGTCGTTTTTAAAGTACGTTAAAACATTCACATCCGTTCTTTATCTGATATACAATTTGTATATCAGATAAATATCGGCTGCTCATGTTTTAACATATTATATCATACCTTGTCACAGCTTATCATGCCATACTACATCCATACCACACAATATTATATAACTTGGCATACCATATACCACACCATACCATGTGGTGCACCACAACACCACACATGATACCATACCACACACCATATCATATCATATATCATATCATATCATATCATATCATATATCATATCATATCATACTACAACATACCCACCATACACACCTTGATTTATCATAAGTCAATATCTGTCTCTGCATGTCATTCATCCATCCTAGTTGATCTTGAACAGCGATACAGAATTTATAATATTCATCAGAATCGTCCAGTAATGTAGTTCTATGTCGAACTTTGCCAGTCAAATGATTCCAGGCGTCCACCACTTCTCGTTCCGTCTCTTTGATCTCGTCCTGTTTGTCTCCCGCGTATGAACCTTGTAGCTCAGCGGACTCTTCTTGAACTGAGTTGACCTTTATATACAATACAATCACTCTGTTTTAACATAGTCAAACAATATGTGGTTTGAAGACTCTGTGAAAGTCTTTGTTCTATCTTTTTGTTCACATTTATGCAAACTTGTACATGGTAAAGACAATGTATTTTTGCCATAATAAAGCAACCATCGAATCACTCAAGCACACTGTTGAATATTAATAACAAATGAAATCGTCTCAACCTAAAACGTAGCTCATTTTAGACGCTTTGAAGTTTTTCCAGACCACGAAACTTCCTTGTACAGTGTTGTAAAACGTTTTCAATTCAAACTGAACTGATAACAATTTCATGCATACGCACCTGTTTCTCAAGTGGCGCCAAATCAGCTTCGAAGGTTTCATGTAGACGTTTCAAGCGATCCACACTGTTGAGATCTTTTCCCAAGTCTTCTGGCATCTGACTTTCTTTCTCCTACACAACATTGAGAAGGTTTGAATGGCAAGAAACAACATTATTTAAATTTTTCATCGAGCGAAGACATACATTACTAAAAGTATACGATACCTGAATCATTCCTAGAACTTCTTTAGCATGGCTGTTGTACATATGAAGTTGTTTAGCAGCTTCTAGTAACTATAGGACGTAAATTAAACAATTGGAATCTAATTAAATGTATGTTGGTGTGGTCAATGGTCATGGCAAGGTGGTATATGGTAAGGCATGGTATGGTACAGTGTGGTATCATATGGTATGGTATGGCATGGTAATGTGCTGTATGGTGAAGCATGGTATGGTTTGATATGGTAATGTGTATAGTGTAGTGTTGTGGTATGGTATGACATATGGTAATGTCCGGTGGGCTATGGAATAGAACCACTGTATATAGTAGTACCTGTATTCGAGTGTTCATAAGCTCTAGTAGATTGGCCCATGCTTCATTCACAGTATCTTTATGTTGGGCAATAGTCGCAGCATCAGAATGTCCTGTTCCTATCAACTGGTCACAAACTTCGTTCGTTTTAGCCAGTCGTTCATTCCCAATATTCGTCGTGTCTTGTTTGAAGTCCTCAAATTTCTGTATCAACATCTGAAAATCGGAACATAAAACGTGGCAATGTATTATATTCTTACATGAACTTCATTTTGGCTTTTATGAACGATGTATGATTTCCGTAAGAAAGACTAAGTTTCTTAGGATTTTTACGAAGATTTCTTACCTCGCACTGTTCAAGATCCTGACCACAATCTTGGGATCTTGCAATCACTTCACGATCAGCTATCCATTGTTCAAGATCATCAACCTCTCTGATGAGTTGGTAAAGTTTATGTGTTTCATCCAGCTTACCTCGTCTTTCTTCAGCTAAATCTTTCAAACCTGCATACAGCTTCTCGAGCTGCGATTGCCGCACGTTGATCGTTTCACTAAACAAGGTTAAAGGTTTGTTTCAGTATATATTCGAATATCTAAAGCTTTAGGGTTCTGGGCCGGTTGTTCAAAAGCCGGTTAGCTTAACCCTGGGTTAAAACAAATCTACAAATCAAATTTACCAACAGCTCATCAATCAAGTTGAATATGTTTTTCCAGAAATCTTTCCTGGTTCAATAGAGGTTTTATTTCCTAAAGTTTTGAAATTAATGATCACATGCAGAAATACATAAACAAAAACAGCAGGTTAAAATTTAAACCAGGATTAGCGCTAATCGGGCTTTAAACAATCGGCCCCAGTGCAACATGTAGGAAGTATTCTACAATGAGCTGTCATGGTTTGTGTCTGAACTACATGAAGTCATGACAAACCTCCTTCGAAGAGTCGAAAGTGTTTTTAAAATTCAGACACCACGACAGCTATTTAAAAATAACACCAATTTCTACCGATACCTTTCAGGATGACCGCTGTCAGTCAAGCCACGGGCTCGTTCTCCTAATTCATTCACACTTTCGGCATAATCAGCAATGGCGGCCTCGATAGTGTCGTGTTTCTTGATAAGTTGTCCTGCACTAGGCTCGTCTTTGCCTCGGTCGTCGCCCATCATGTACAGCTCTTGTTCACTCATCCATGCTTCTGCTTCCGACACGTCATAGTAATACTATAGTAACAAGAAGTGATGTTAACTTATTTAATGTCGTTTACCACGGAGTGTGGTTGCACAATTCACTCAGAAGCCCATGACAAACATGCTCGACAATTAACGCCTAAGGATTAGTTTTTGACGAAGAAGGAAACCGGAGAACCAACCAAAAGTCTACTTTTACAAGTTTTAAAGCACAGTTGAGTTATTCAATCTTAGTGGACGCTTTACCCTCGACATTTGAGAGAGAAATCGATTCGATATTCTATTTTAAAACGAGAAATCAATTTTGAACAATGCACACACTTATCCTGAGGTATGCATAGGTCTTTGCGTTACCTGTTTCGCCTGTGCAGAGACGTCGAGTTGTGTTTGATATTTATCCGATAAATCTTTCAAATTATCCCAGCTCTGTTCCAGCTCGTCAATTCTCTCTCGCACAACCTCAGATTCGGGGTGTTCATTTTCAATCATATCTTCGCCTTGTTTCACCAAAGCGTCTTTCTGTGCTTGATGGATATCGATCTCTGCACGCAGGTTCTATAGGGGTAGAAATTAAATCTAAGTTACTTTATTATACAGACTCACAAAAGAAGCGTTGCTCTGCAAAAAGGCTTCAACATAACTTCTCCTAGAGTCTCACTGTTGCGACATAAACCTCTCATAGCCCTTTCTCCAGATAATATTTCAGCCCTTTATTCTCACGGCGAAACAAGAATGTTACCTGATGTTTCTTCTGAAGCCGTTGTACTTCAAAGAGATCTGAGCCATAGTTGGTTGATTTCACCTGTGGTTCTTTTTCTCGTATCCATTCCTAAAAACATCAAATTCAAACATTCACTCCGGATTACAAGTGTCTAATATGATGTGCTTATTCAATTATTATTCTCCTAGAATGTGTACGAGTAGTATAAATACCAGTTCATCATCAACGTCTCGGGTGAATTGGAAGAATTGTACTTGATCTTCGAGTTCCTTGCTACGAGCACCGAGCGGTCCTTCTAGCGCATCAAAACTGTTGGGAGAAATAATTAAAATAATTTGCTACCCAACTCATTGAAAACCAGGTATCGAAGCCATTCACATCTTTGTAGACAATCTTACCTCGCCTCCAGTTCTTCTTTCTTCGACGCGACAATTTCAGGTTCAATCATTCCTGCGTCGACCATATCCGGTTCATTGCTGAGTTCTTCCAGACGTTGACGTTTCGTCAAAATTTCTTTCTCCAGAGCCTAAAGTAAAAGCACATATTCAGACACATGGGTTTCCCCCATGAACATACATACAATATCCCCGTGATGATGGTTGAAAGAGACCAACCTTATGTTTGTGATACAGTTTCGTAGCTGTGATGATATCTGTCGCTTTCTCAGTCGTAATTACAGACGTCTCGCATTCTTGCACCCATACGGTCATATTCTGGACATCAGTTTTAAATTCTTCTCCTTTGTGAGCGGCAGAAATCTTCTTGCCTTTGTTCTTACACAATTCTAAGACTTCGTCCCACGTCTGGTCCAGTTTTTCTAACCTTGGTTGAACTTCTGGCTCCGTCTCCGGTTTTTCCGACATTAAGTTTGTGCCAGTCTAGAAAAGAACAAATAAGTAAACAATGCGCATAACAAGAACCTTCGCTCGAAACAGGTAGTTCGAATCCTGCTGTACAACCACCATATTTCTGGCATTTGAAAAGGAAGTTCCAGCATTTGAAAAGGAAGTTCTGGCATTTGAAAAGGGAGTTCTGGCATTTGAAAAGAGACTTCTGGCATTTGAAAAAGGAGTTCTGGCATTTGAAAAGAGACTTCTGGTATTTGAAAAGGGAGTTCTGGCATTTGAAAAGGGAGTTCTGGCATTTGAAATAGGCTTTCTGGCATTTGAAAAGGGAGTCCTGGTATTTGAAAAGGGAGTTCTGGCATTTGAAAAGGAAGTTCTGGCATTTGAAAAGGAAGTTCTCGCATTTGAAAAGGGAGTTCTGGCATTTGAAAAGGAAGTTCTGGCACTTCAAAAGGACGTTCTGGCACTTGAAAAGGAAGTTCTGGCATTTGAAAAGGAAGTTCTGGCATTTGAAAAGGGAGTTCTGGCATTTGAAAAGGGAGTTCATACCATCCACGCATTACAAACATGGCTGAGGCTGACCAGGCTTCCCTAAATAACCACACAGATTACGTAATGGATACGCACCTCTTTAATTTGATCCAGTTTGTCTTTACTAGCCGCCAGTTCAGCCTCGAATGCTTGATGACGTTGATATTTACCACGGATGTTGCTGAGGTCTGTGATTTCTTCTGAAGCGGCTTGATGTCTCTCTAACAGCCAATCATACATCTTGTGTGAAACAAAAGAACAAAGATTAATAAGCCAATCGTATGCCATCAAGAAGTTTCAGTCAATGGTCAGATTACTGTATTTGTAATAAAGATGAAATATTATCACACGAGGACGACACGGGGAAGGACAACATGACCAAATCGTAAAAGTAAAAATCTATTGAAAATCCATATTTATATTCTTATAGAATATCCTACCTCGTCCGCGTCCTGGTTGAATTCTTTAAGCTCCAAAAGATCTCTCAGACGAGCGAGTGCATTCTCAGCCGTGGCTCGGTTGTTTTTACGTCTGAATGAAATTTATGAGATACATGCTGCTTAAGCCTGTGAACTTGATGTATAAATAAACCTGACCGACTGATTTAATGCACGAAATCATGTGATTTAAGCATCTACGTAATTTTACCTTTCATCGATATCATGAGCTTTCTCCAAGATCTTTTCTGAAGCATAATGATTGTTATTAGCCAAGCGGTTGGCGAAGTCAATCACAGCGTCGACCTTCTCGTCATTCGCGTCCAGTTTCTTGCTGAATTCTTCGTGTTTCTTGATCGCATCTTTCACGGCTTCTACTGTCGCCTAGCAAAACAGTTTGAGTAAATCATTGAAGTAACTTTGCTTCACAATTATCCATACGAGTTATTCAGTCATGGGGATAACTTAGCAACCTTTGTTCAATTCTGGGCTTTTGTAAACAGACGAAATGGTGCTAGGTCTAACGTTTCACAACGGCAGCAGATCGTAGCTATCTGTCGCACGATACTGTTGAGTAAAACCTGTCATTTTTAATACCAACTTACTGGATTTTCATCCTTTGATAAGAACAACTCTTGTTTTCCAAGCAACGAATCTGCTTGTTTTGCATCCCTCGTGAACAGCTAAAACATAATTTAATGGTCAAGTTATTTCCAACCTCTCAGAAATACCGGTTAAGTTTGCCCACCTTCGGGAAACATGGCTAGGAAACAATGCTTCCTGGTTTGCCCACTTTTGAACATATTGTACTGTACCTGATAATTCAAACTCTGCAAGAGTTGTTTCTGTCTTGCATCAGATAGTTCATGAAGATCTTTCCATTCACTCTCTATGCTGTCAAGTTGTTCTTTCAGAGATTGCTGTTGAAGATCAGACTCATCCTGAACCCACTTTGGGCCTTCATTCACCAGGTTTTCATATGTTGGCTCGCGAGCGTCGATCTCGTTCTGCACGGAGAAAATTCATCGATTAAAAGGATTAAACGATTCTTATACGAAGACACAAATGTGTTTGACAGGTTCAGCCTCCAGTATAAATATGCCCATTCTCACCTTCATATCTTCGTGTGCTTTCAACATATTCTCAGCTTCTGGTAAACTGTTGGCGACATCTTCCTTGGCACATTCTTGTTGAGTATCGCGCAACCTGATAAAATAATTATTCATTCAAACAATTATCCAAAATCTTTAGCTATTTCCCAGAATTAATTTAGCTTCTATTCCATACTAACCATCGATGGAAATCATCAAGATCAATTACAAACTGTTGAAGTTCACCAGATTCCTTCAATTCTTCATCGCGTTGTTCAACCTGCAATTTTATCAGTATTTTAATGACTTTTCAGAATTACCATCTTAACTCTTCTTAACAAGCAAATTCATTAAATGTTCAACACGGATATTGGTCGTAGGTTACGGATATATACTTACACTAGATTGTAAGTCACCCCAAGTTTGAGTCACTGCATCAATTCTTTCGTTTATCGTCTCAGCTTCCTACAATATAAATATTATTTCAAAATTTCTTATAATTCTATTCTTCCTACACACTATGCGGTACTACACAGTACGAAATTAACGACCAACACGCATATACCTCTGGGTGCTTTTCAGTAAGTTCCTCAGCCTCCTTTTTCAATTCACCAACCTGTCATAACAACAAAATTTTACGTAAACTTTTGTACATACACGAGGGTATAGAACCTAGTAATGATCATATTATACAGTCACTCAGAAATAACAATACGCAAACCCAGTCTTAAGCTGATTCTGTGCGGTACTGGATTAACATGGGAAAGATAATCGAGCTTAGAAATCTGAACTACTTGTACCTTATCTTCCAACGCGCCTAGATCTCTCTGAATTACATTCAATCTTCGTTGTACAGTAATGACACTGGATAAATCTTTCGTCTCAATTTCCTGCACCGTAGCCAAGACACTCTTCTTTTCTTGTATCCAAGTCTAAACCACAAACACATGCAAAGGGTTAACATGTTTTCCTAAAGAACACAAAAGACCAAGTCCAGGTTGTGTCTCCTGGCACTTTCAGGATTTGTGTCCTCCTCAAAAGGATAACTCAATTTTCTGAATCTTAGCAAGAAATCCTGAAAAAAGTCTTACTTTGGTCTCTGTTGTTTCAACATAAAACTGTTGAAGTCGTATCGCTTCATTGAGCTCTTTCTTTCTAGCGTCCAGGCCATCCTGCAGCTCAACCCACCTAGAAAGTACAAAATAGTTTTATTCTATTTCACGTTTTCATGAGTTAATAAACTAAACCAAATTAAGTTTGTTCATCCTTGGTAGCTCTATCAAATCTAAACTGTTCTCCAATCCAGCAAGCGCCATCAGGACGAAACCCTGCGGTGTTTGGCGGAGTCAAACTGGAAGAACTGTTACGCCCGTATTCTAAAAGCTCACTCGCACTCAAAGAGTGGAGGTTCAATCTGAGCTTCCCTTGAGTGTCAATGCTATTTTTGAACAGCTGAAGTGTTAGTGTCGCACCTTACTATGCGACTACTCAACTTCCAGCTATTCAAAAACAGCATTGATACTCAAGGAAAGCTCAGACTGAACCTCCACTCTTTGAGTCTGAGTGAGCTTTTAGAATATAGGTGATAATCAAACAAGTGCATATTGCAGGAATACAACCTCAGTCAGAGAGATGAAAGACATACTAACACCTCAATCAAATCAACGACTTTCCCAATAAAACACTCACACCCATACCACAACAATAATATCAAAGTTTCATTACAATACCTGGATGTAACGTTTTCAGTTGTCGTTTGTATATCGTCCGCGTTTGGATGTCCCTCGTCAACAAGCTGTGTCCCCAGTTCATTCACTTTGCCCAACCGTTCCTCGTTACCACTGCATTCCTATAGCAATAATTTCAACAATAACGACCATTGACCTCAAAACTAGAACTGGATGTGGATACCGTCGCAATTTTTATACGAGTTCCTGAATCACGTGGGATTTTAAAATTTGCCACATCTGGCTACGGCAGTTTAGTGCCCTTTTGTCCTAATTCTGAGTGACGAACATGCGTTAATTATAAATGTAATCATCGACAAAATAATTTCAATTTCATACCGTAGTAAAGTTATCAATTCTCTGTTGAATGACACGACATTCCTCCAGATCCATTGTTCTATCAACTCTAAGCGCAGTGTCCAAACGTTGTTCCTGAAAAAGATGTCATGCTTAACGGTATGTTTTGATTTGACATCACATCGCATCACAAGCGAAACATGTCTGATATTACATCTGGATGCAGGAAACTTATGGATTAAACTTATGGATCATATTTATTGCTATACCCTTTCAGTGATCCAGGTGTCAATAATGTATGCTTCTCTGTTGAGTTGAAACTGAGCCAGCGCTTCAAGGAGTTTCTTCCTTCGTTCAGCGGCAAGATCTTTCAGGTTTGCGTATCGCTCGTCGACACTAATGAAAGACAATGGAACATTCTGATCTTTGTATTGTGACTGGATGGCATGGAGAACAGCGGGATTTTCAAAACAATGAAAAGACAATGGAACATTCTGATCATGACTAGATGGCATGGAGAACAGTGGTATTTTCAAAACAATGCAAAGATAATGGAACATTTCAATCACTGGATCACGACTGGATGAAACTATTTTCTATTTCAAAGACTTTTTACGAGGCTGAACTTACGTTCTACATCGGTCGACTACTTCAGGCGATGTCTTATCCTCGTCTCCGAGAGTTTCGTCAACTTGATCATGAAGAGACTGAATGGGCACTGCATATGATTCAATTTCTTCCTCCAATAACTTAATTAAAACAAAATGACAATCAAAATTCTGTATCTGGGGGATGTGCCAAATACAGTATCTAGCTTTTGCCATAAAATAACGATCATGGAACGACGGTTTAATACGTTGTATCATACAACATTGACCTTCAACGTTGTCTACACACGCACGGTCAGAAATGGGTGTGTATCTATGCATTTACACAATGGGATCATGCATGCTTTGTGATTTTCCATTTGTAATAACAAACCTCGTGTTTTTTCAGCAAGGTGTGGACGCTGTCTTCATCATATCCATAGTCATCATTAGCGGCCATTCGTTCAGCCAAATTCATCCACGATATGATATCATTGTAGTCCGCAATAAACTGAAGAAAAAATTACGGGACGAGTTTAAAGTAACGCCCATTCGTATACAACTATTCTATAAAGTAATACACTACAAGGGACCTTCAGTAGCAGGCTTAACTTAAGAGACAGCGCGCTAGCCATATCTGCCAAAATATACGTAATATCATATAGTAGTTAGTCCCCCACCTGTTGTACATTCAAACTATCTTGCAGTTTCCTCTTACGATACGCAGCGGTGTCACGTGCAGACGCCCATTTGTTGTCAAGGTTACTGAGCCGTGACGTAATGGTATCCGAAGCATAATGACCATTTTCAACCATCTGCTGACCAGTTGCTTTCACTTGTTCAACGACAGGCTCACGGCCAGTAATTTCGTCCTCCATAGCCTTAAATAAAGTTAGAAAAAAAACATAACATTCACCAGGAAACGCCGATACCATTTTTTTCTAACTAAACAAACTTTATTGATACAGGACAGCTCTATCAATCGTAGAATGCTGCGGTTTGAGTCTTTGAGAGGGATTCGATTACCTGAAAAATATATTTTTAAACTGGTATTTTTCAGGTAGCTGAACCATCTCAATCCGTTGTTTTCTGGTTCTGTCAATGGACCATTTGCATTATAGACTAAATTTTGATCTAGACAAAAATTTCATCACAGCTTGAAAGAGCATCACAAAATTAGTAATATTCCAAAGTTTCGTTGTGAAATGTTGTAAAATGCGGATAATATAGCCTTGCAAAGTTTGCCGTTTTTCAGTCATTTTGTATTACGCACAGGAAATTGACAGCCCAATCGGGTG